CCCTTTCAACATTTGGTTCAACATTTTAGTATATTTTTCAATAATTTCTTTGTTTTGGAAGAAATACACCCAGGACTTGATACACGTTGATTATGAAAAAGTGGCTAAAAGGCTTAAAGTTCATACCCTGGGGAGAAAGAGTTATGTCGTCCTCTTCATTATTACCGTATGGCCCGCACCTCGTCACAATCTCCTGTAGAACAATGGCAAAACTGTAGACATCCCCTTTCTGAGAGCCACGAGTTGGCGTCTTGGTTCTGAGTAGTTCTGGTGCTCGGTAGAGTAATTCTGAAAATAAAAATAAATAAATAAGTTTAGTAGCTAATCAGTGGTCAATATTCGCTTAGTTGAGAATGTGATTCACTGAGACAAATACAAGAATTACAAAAATTAATTACGAAAGGTTGTTCACAGATAATTAAACATAAATATGAATACATATAACGTGTTACAATTCAACTTCTCATTTTCTAAAACCACCAAGTGAGTTTTTCGGATGAACCGGACTTAAAATCACACTACTAGAAACCGCTTAAATTCAAGCGCTTGAAAAATGTGTGTTTCATTACTATGCACACACACAAATCTTTATCTTTCTCAATACATGATGATGTATAGAGATATTGTCGTGAAATATTGATTTTCTTGAAAATCAGGCTCGGTTTTAGAACATAACAAATACAATTAGAACACATCATATCAAATATTTTCAACTACGAAGCATAGTCTAGCATGTGATTATCATTCGCCTTATTTATTTTATCCAAAGAACTTAAAATAACAACAAGTATACATACTGGCATAGTCAGCGTAGGAGTCGGCTATATCAACTGTCAACATGTTATTTGTACGCAACTCATTCAAACCAAAGTCGGTGATTTTCAACACAAATCGACTGTCAACCACACAGTTAGACGAGGTCAGGTTACCATGAATCTTTATAACACTGTTATGAATGTATTGCATTCCCTGAAAAGATGGATAAATGTAAATCCACACACAGCCCGGAGACAAATACTATTTCTTTCGACAGTATAATTGGTTTGTATGATTGCTCCTTCGGGTTAATTCAAGTGAACGGAGCTGTACACTGCCATAGTAAAAATAATCTATACAAGAAATTCTACAAATTCCCACGTATTTGAAAGTAATTTCATCTACCTTAACAATATCGAAGATTAGAGAGAACCGAAACATCCAATCCAGGTTTATCGACTCATTCTCCAATATATCCTGAAAAAATCAAATGAATACACACAACATCTGACATCTGTAGTAACGTTAAATAAACTAGATTTCTCCCACTGGTTGAAATACCAAGGAAGCATGGGGGAATGTTAACAAAGCACGAACAGCCTGATTTGTAATGTCACCTTGGTAACGTATCTGTATAATC